TACGTCCAAGAAGGCATCATGGTTTGTCAGGTAATTCTTGTTTTTTTTCATTTTTATTGGTTAATATTAGCCATAAGGATTGTGTAGGAAAAGAGTTAATATTTGTGAGTGTGGGTGTGTGTAAATATATATATATATATATATATATATATATATATATATATATATATATATATATATATATATATATATATATATATATATATATATATATATATATATATGGATACATACAAACTTTGTATATTTTTTAAGAATTCATTTGCGATTGTGATTCGGTTTACAATCCTGTTTGTGCTCAAAATGGAATGACTTATCCAAATTCTTGTTATGCAAGGTAAAGATTTAATAAACTATCTTATGTTATTATCTGCGGTATGCGGCAGTGGTGTAGTGGTAAGAGCGCTCGCTTTGTAAGCGAGAGGTTCGGAGTTCGACTCCCACCACGTCCCTGGAAGTACCGCAACTTAGTTTCTCCGCGCAGCGGCCTTGCTTGTCAAGGTTCGTGTTTCGGAGTTAAAGAGTTGAGAGAGGGTTGTACCACGAAATACAACAAAAAAATAAAAAACACAAAAAAATGAGTAGCCTCCTTGACTGTAGTGGCCCCCTCGGGCCTTGGGGAGGTGAATAATGTAAAAAAAAAAAAAAAAAAAAAAAAAAAAAGATGGGATTATAACAATAACAACAGTAATTAATTTTATTTTTAGCTAATCCAGTTGTTTGTTTTAAAAAGTAATGATATATAATTATAATCCTAAGTGCCAATTTTGAAATTGTTATTTGCTGATTGTTTCAAATTGTTATTTTCTGTAAATGATTACTTCTTTTTCAAAAATTTCTTTAATGTAGCATTTAAATTAAAAACATTTCTTGATAATAAAAATTAAGCAAAAAAATGCAACCACTTTGAAAATAATTTTGAAGTTTCTTGTTATATATGTCATTTTTCAGTAGAGTTTATTTCAAAACTGTGCTAAAATAATCAATTTAAAAATTACAAAGTTTGAATTAGAAGTTTAATGAGGATTTTTTTACATTATTTATCATGGTTTATTGAATTTTTTATTATTTGTTTGTAAAATTTTCAGATGTCGATGCAATAACGATCCTTTGCATGTTGGTGATTGTCAGGCAAATGATCCATGTGATCCAAACCCATGTTCACCAGATTTAGTTTGTGTTGTAAAAAGAAATACTTGTTTAACTGTTGGACCTCCTTGTCCTCAATATAGCTGTCTTACAAATGCTACAGGAACATTTTTTGAAGAAATGGAACTATGTCAAAAAAGTGTAAGGATTTACCAATGCTGTTTGACTTTTAAATTTCAAATTATTATTTACATTTAAAATGGGCATAACCGCATATGGAGGCACAACCATTTTTTAACATTTCCCTTTGAAAAATGTTATCTAATATGGCAAAAAACATACCACGCATTAGTAAAACAATTTCCTTCATTTTATGTCAAAAGAGTCCCTGTTATGTTTCTGAGAAGTTGTGCATAATAATGTTTATTTTGATAAAAATATTATATTTACATCATATTTTTTTAGTGTTTAAGATATTTTAAGATTGTGTTATCAGCAATAAAAACCATTTTTGATATCAACATGACCTAATAAACAAGCTATGAAACTGTATTCTTTCTAAAAACTGTCCTCTGGGGCAGAACCGCATAGACGCTCAGGAGGCACAACCGCATACTTTAAATATTTATCAAAATTAGGTAATTATGAATAACAATAATTACAATTGTCACACTTGAATGCTTTCATGTAAAAACTTGAATAGAAATAGTTTTGTTTTGAGAGCTTGGAAATCAGATTTCGTATTTTTTTATTTAATTTTTATAAATGAGTTTTTGAATGTAATGTAAAGGTAAGAGTATATCGAATGAGAAAACTCAGACTGTGAGTACCAAAAATGCCTACACAGTATGCAAATGTGAAAAAAAAGTCAGCAAATTAAGTTGTGACAATTGTAAAGAAAATGTATTAAGAAAAGTGTACCCCCAACAATTTTTGTGAGGGTGCGGTTTTGCCTCACAATAAAGGCAAAACCGTTTTTTTCATTAGGTGTAATTTTTGTGTAGTAACATTTTTAAAATTGTTTAATTTTTTTCTTATTTGCATCAATTTAAAGCTTAATGATGTGGTTATTGAAATAAACTGTTTTAAAACTGTTTATTTCGTTTTTATTTTCATATAGCATTAATCTAAACGTTACGGGGGCAGTTATGCCCCCACTTCTGCTATATATATATATGTATATATATATATATATATATATATATATATATATATATATATATATATATATATATATATATATATATATATGTATATATATAAATATCCTTATAGTGTAGTCGAAAGAGCGTTTTAATGTAAAAAAAGTCTCTTTCGACTACAATTTTAATTACTTCGTCTCTTAAGCTGTATTTGATTGTCGTCGAAATGTCAAAGCAATTAAATTAATGCGGAAGTACATTAAATTTTATTGTTTTTTTAAAAATTTTTAAAAAACCGCAATTATAACGACTAGAAAGTTTTTTTTAATTAGTGGTGTTTTTGTTTTTGTTTTATTAAAAAACATTTTTAAAACATGCGTAAATGTTGCTACATCGACTATCTTATAGCCTGACTCGCTAGGGAGTGCTGCTACATCGACTGACAAATAGCCTGACTCGCAACCGAGTGCTGCTACATCGACTGACAAATAGCCTGACTCGCAACAGAGTGCTGCTACATCGACTGACAAATAGCCTGACTCGCAAGGGAGTGCTGCTACAACGACTGACAAATAGCCTGACTCGCAAGGGAGTGCTGCTACATCGACTGAGGGTTTGGTTTGGGCAGGCAGTCTATCATTAAAAAAAATAATAATAATAAGTTTTTAAACTTTTTCTGGTCTGGTTTATTAACGCGCTCTTTAAAACTACAGTTTATGGGAAACTCTTTTTAACTACCATGCAAGAGTATATATATATATATATATATATATATATATATATATATATATATATATATATATATATATATATATATTATATGTATATATATATATATATATATATATATATATATATATATATATATATATATATATATATATATATATATATGTATATATATATATACAGTATTGGACAAAACATTTGCAACCAACATCGAACAATGCTAAAAAGTGTTCCTAAATTTACATGTCTTAAAAACGAAACAAACTATACTGCCACAGCAAAAAGTTCAGGAGTGTGGAGTCACAGCATGCCATGACATGAGCAATTAGCTGACAGGTGACAGCACATAGGTAGAATTTGGTTGACAAGTGCCATTTTGCAGCAGACAAAACAAGTGCAATCTTTTTGGTTTGCTTCATTTTCTTGAGTCTGGTCCATGTCAACAACACGGAAGTTTTTTAATAATTAAAGGAAGTATCCAGAAGTTTCCAGAAGCATACAGAAGTTTCCAGAAGCATCAAAAAGAAGCTTCTAGAATCTTTCAGAACAGGTTCACACAGGTTCATTTTACTTTATAAGAGACATGAAAACCGACATGTAATTCAGTCAGTATATTGAAGTCAATCAGTCAGTATTATCAAGACAGTTTATCGAAGTGAGTTTTATCAAAGTGTTTTATCGAAGAACATCAATACAAGAAGTGAAATACAGCAAGTGTTTCATTACATCAATACAGTCCACATCCAACCAAGACGTTGTGTTCCACTGAGCATTATTGTATCATCACAAGGTAAATGTAACACAGTAAGCCTTGATAAGCATGATTATTTATTGTTTTTATTTTTATGACTTCAAGTGCAAAAATGCCTCCCGACAGTCTTGGATTGGAACTAAGATAGAAAATTATTGGCAATATTTAAGTGGAATGTCACAAAAAAGTATTTGTGATAAATATCGCGTGAAAAAATGGACCGTATCAAGACTATATTCCAAATATCTTTCTATGGGGAAGTTGGCAGCAGATAACAAAGGTGGAAGACCGCGTTCCACTACTTCTAGAGAGGATTCTATGATCGTCAGATCTATCAAGAAGGATCCCTAGATATCATCAGTCGAGATGCAAAAGCAATTAGAGCTGCCTGTATCGAACTGAACAATCAGACGACGTGCTGTTGAAGCCGGATTGTTTTCTCGACGCCCTGCAAAGAAACCGCTGATTTCATTAAAAAACTGGAAGAAAAGACTTTTGTTTGCTCATTTCATATTGACTAGAATGTGCAGAAATGGCGAACTGTCCTGTTCAGTGATGACTCAAAGTTTATTATAATTGGGAGTGATGGCATTTGCCGTATACGTCGACCGGCCGGAAAAGGCCTCGATTTACGTTACTGCCATAGGACCGTGAAGCATGGTGGAGGCAATGTAATGGTCTGGGGGTGTTTTTCTGCTAACGATCTAGGTCCAATACATCGAATCAATAGAATAATGGACCATTTCATGTATAAAAATATCCTGAAAGATGTTATGTTACCTCATGCTGAATGGAATATGCCAATAAAATAGGTTTTTCAGCAAGACAACGGTCCGAAACACACTGCAAAAGTAGTCAAGCAGTGGTTTCAAGACAACCACCTATCGGCGATGGGTTGGCTGCCTCAATCTCCGGATCTCAACCCTATCGAGAACCTGTGGGAGATCGTCAACCGCAGAATTAATTATGAAGGTGTTTGTAATAAGGATCAACTGTTTGAACAAATCCAAAAGGCCTGGGCAGCGATTCCACAAAGTTGATCACCTGATTGAATCTATGCCTTGAAGATGCAAGGCTGTATACGACAACAAAGGATTCGCCACGAAATATTGATAGCGAAATACAGCTTGCTCAACATTTTGTGGAGTTGCACTTGTTTTGTCCAGAAGGAAATCAACTTTTTTAAATACTTTTGATTAATTTATTAATTTTCGTGTACAAATAATGAACTTTGTGATGAATAAAACTTCAAGAACATTGTCTCTAAACAGTTACATAGTTATTTCTCT